TTATAGCAATTATATGTCCAATCCCATGGTGACTCCTGAGAGGCCAATAGGAGCCTCATGACTCCCATACTTGGATGTTGACAGATGTGATCAAAGGTTAAGGAGAAGCCAAATATGTCACTCAAAGACTGTGGGAAAAGTGCAGAGAGGCAGAACCACAGGGGAGCAGAGGACATGAGAATGAAAGTCCTGGGTGTTGAGAAGCAAACATCAAATTATGAAGATTCATACTCAGAACTTTCGCTTTGTAATTATGAGTTGGGGAGGGAAAGGGTGATCCTAACTCAAATCTAACTGCACCAATCACTGGATTCAAACACATCTGGCCACTCCTGGCCAACACTGGAGACTGGTCTCCAGGGAGCTTGCTGCATGAAACCAAGCTGCCTCCTGGAAAGGAGTGGACATAGCAAGGGAAGAGGGAGCCCAGTACCCAAACTTGGCTCAATAACAATGTCTTTGTTGTGAAAAGGGACAAGTGTGAAAAGAGCATGGTGCTTGGTGCTCCTGGTGCAGTGCCCATCTGAGCCACAGACTATGGAGAATCAGGCACGAGTTCTTGCCACAGCTGCCAACCTGCTGACCACAAAGCAATGTGGTACGAACCATCTCTTGGGATTTGCTAGTTTGGAGAACCAGCCCAACACAGGGAGAAATGATTGAAGCAAACTGAATAGCAGCCTAACCCTCCATCCACAATTAGATACAGGGAACTGAACAGGAACTGGAAGTTTTCTGTGCACTCACAAAGATGGTAAAATAATGTGAATTTCTTCAGTGGTATTAGGTGGGACCTGGACTACTAGCATATGTGTATGTCTTAGTTATGAATATGAGGGAGGGAGAGACAACCCAAACATATAAACAAACAAAAGATACTTGGAGACACTTTGCTGAAAGAGAAGCAGTAGCATTTGTGCTTGGGTTGATTCAAAGATCACACTGGCCTAAGGATCCGGAGAAAAATCAGACCACCATAAAACATCTTGTGATCACTATACAGATGTCATTCCTGAATACCTTCCTATGCCAATCCCGCAACAAGTTTCTTTCCTTTAAAAGAGCCTTAGCGAGGCATGGTGGTGCACACCTGTAATCCCAGTAACTATTTAGGCTAAGCCAGAAGCTTGCAAGTTCAAGGCCAGCTTCAGTAATTTAGCAAGACCCTGTCTCAAAATAAAAAATGAAAATGGCTGGGGAGTTATCTCAATGATAGAGAGCAGCCTCTAGGTTAAATCACCACTACCATGCGGAGGTAGAGAATAAGAGCCTAAGAACCCCAAAAGTGTCTTTCACTCCAGAGATAGTCCACATTCTCCCTTGAATATGTATTCCTTGTTTTACCCCAAGAGCATCTCTGTCTCTTGAGATAGCATATGTTCTTTCCTGAATATGCACCTGCTTTCCTAAATAAATCCCTGTGTCTCTGATGCATATTGAAATTTTTTTCTGTCAAGGTCATCATCTTACCCGATGGTCCTGAATTGAGGTCTCTTAGTCCTCCAGAACTCCCTGGACCTCTTCCAGTGACAAACCTACTTTCTAAAATATTAATAAACTTACTTTTAAGAGCTGTTTTAGGTTTACAAAAAGTTGAGTAGAAAGTACAAAATTCCAACATATCTCATCCCTCACCCGTGCACACAATGTTCTCTTTGTCCCCATTTTTTATACATAGAACCTAGTATGGGCAGCATCACTCTCCAAAAACTATGCCTACTCCAACAGTGTGATTCCCAGATAAAGCAGAGCTTTTTTTTTTTCCTGTGGATATAGAAGCAGAATGGAAGACTGAAGCAGCAGTAGAATAACAACACAGCGGAGACGACCATGTGATCAGTACCTGGCCTTCCTTATGGTTATTGTGCAAAGAGCATCACTGAGATCTCCCAGAAGTGCTTATCACATCTTTTTCAGGAATTAGTCCTGGATCAGAACTGGGAATAGGAGCAAGGCTGCAGAAAAGCATAACTGTTAAGAAGCACATTCTAGAATCTGACTTCCTAGATTCCAATCCCATCTTTACCACTTAAAAGGCCAAGTAATAATGGCTAACCTCTCAATGGTGTGTTTTCTGTGGCCAAGAAATGGAAGATAGAGTCATTTCTACCTCACATGATTGTTTTAATAATTACATGAGCTTCAAACTTGTGAAACACTTAAAATAATATTTGGTGTATACAAAATAAATACTTAATATAAAGCATGGTGCCTACCACACCAAGTTGCTATGAAAATTTTTAAACAGATATGGGTAACGCATCAACATATTCAATAATGTTGGTTATTATTACACATACACACAGGAGGAGGACTGGAAGGCTAACAAAACTATGATAAAAATTCAATATGGCTATTGCTATGATTTAAATGTGGGTATTATTTCCTAAATGGGCCACATGTTAAAGACTTGGTTACTTACATGAGTGGCACTTAGGGAGATATGACAGACCTTTAAGAAGATAGGATCCAGTGAGAGGTTTAATTCATTGGGGCCAAACTCCTGAAGGGGATTGTGGGATCTCACCTACTTTTCTGTTTCTGGGTTTATAATGTGAGTGGTTTGCTCCACCACTCATTACTAACAATATCCCAACCCTCATCAGAGACCCAAGTGATAGGGACCCCTGAACTTCCACTGAAAACTCCAGAACCATGTGCTAAATAAACCTTTATAAGTTAGTTGCCTCAGGGATCTCATTATAGTGATGGCAAGCTGTGATTTCCAGTATCATAGCTTTTTCCTTCTAGGTTCTAATACAGCAGTGGAAAAGCAAAAGTAACTACAGTCATTTATGTAAATTATGGACCACCTGTATCTCAGAATTATGAAGCACTAACCTCTGTGTGCATGTACTCAGGGCTCTGAGAACCTGGAAGGAAAAAGCTATGATACTGGAAATCACAGAAACAGTCCTGTTAGCAGGCAGAGAGATCTCACACTGAAGTGTGCTATGGGGCACTCAGAGCCTCCAAGGGCTTTGTATCCCACTAAAAAACAGATTGTTCTGCAAAAAAAAAAAAAAAAAAAAAGACAGAAAAACATCAAAAAACAAAGAAACTTGGAACACAGGAGACCAGAGATAAAGGAGAGGAAAACTATTCTCCAAACTATCATTAATATTCTTAAAGGAATAAGAGAAAATATTGCATCCATTAAAACAAACAAGAAAATATAAAAAGGAATATCCCAAAAGAATCTCTGGAAGCCAGGTGTGGTGGCACACAACTGTAATCCCAGCAACTTGGAAGGCTGGGGCAAAAGGATCACAAGTTTGAGGCCAGCCTCAGGAACTTAGGAAGGCCCTGTCGCAATAAAAAGAGGGTTGGGGGGAGCGAAAGGGCTGGGAATGCAGCTCAGTGGTTAAGCACCCCTAGATTCAATTGAGAGTACCAAAAAAAAGAATCCCTGGAAATTAAAGTATAATATCATAAATATTATGTTTATAACATGTGTTTCAAGAATGTTTAGATGATAAAAGGAAAAAATCTAGAAATTGAGAAAAGAAAAAGAAATTGGAAATGAGAGAAGATCATTTTTAAAAAATTAAGAATCAATTCTGAAGATCTGAGAGAACAAAAACAAACAAAAAAAGGAGGAGGAAATCATCAATGAAGAAATCACCAAAACACATTCTCAGACCTGAAGTACAAGCACTTCTAAATACTGATGGTTCCCAGAATAACCTTGACAATGCATGGAAATGGATCCATACCAAGGCATGTCATCATGAAATTTAGGAAAACTGGAAACACACAATCTTGAAAACATTCTGCTTCTTATGAGACTAAGAGAATGGACATCTCCCCCAAAGATAGTAAACCAAGAAAGAAGAACAGAAAGAATTCATAAGCAAAAGAAACAATACGAATGAGAAGCAAAAGGAATTACTAGACTCATGCTTCTGAGAACAACCAGGCAAGAGGCTCAGAGAGCACCCAGTCCAATGTGCAGCAGGTGACAGCATACCAGGAGGGATGGTTTCAGGACAGGGGAGACTGAGAGAATATCTGATGTGAACAAATGTTTTGACACAAGATGCAGACAACTGGTGGGAGACTGGATGGAACTAATAAGTGCACAAAAATCTAAAAGGGGGAAAAAAGTTATTAGGTCTAGAGAAAACAAATAGTTGTGCAAGAGAGAAATCATGTGTGTATTACACAGCTTCTGTGTGAATGATATTTACATAGTCGTACTAATATAAACATGAACTGCTGATACAACCCAAATTACAACACAACTGTACTTAAAGAGGACTGAGATAGTTAACCACACAGGTGCCCAAGTGAATGAGTAAACCCTGGCTGTGAAAGTGATCATGGGGAAAAAGACTAGTCAGAAGTCAATAAGTAATGTATAAAGGCTTTAAATCACTAAGTCTCCACATTAACAAGTCACTTAGAGATACAGAGGGGACTGCCAAAGAGAGCTAAAAGGAGTTCAAAGGTTGCCTCTGAAAAGCAGGAGGAAGCAGGAGGTGAAAAGATGAGGAAGGGGTCCTGCTGTTTTCATAATAAGTCTTATGAAATATTTTCACTAAGTTGTGTACAAATTAACTCAGGCATAAGAAAAAACACAAGATTGCTACAGGAGACTTTTCAAATAAACACAGTTCATTGGGACGCCCCTTTCCCTCTATCTCTTTTGACATCACTGTCTTGTTTCAGATCTCACCGACCTTCCCCCAACTGTTCACCCACATTCCAAAGAGTGCACTGACTGAGAAGAGGAAAGGGAGACACTGGGTGACCCTAGGATCTGCTCTACTAGAATGGTGATAAAATTTGGGGGTGCGCTTTTAGACCACTATCACCAGATGATTTTTCTGGAAAACGTTAAAGATTTCTATGAAAGTCACAAGCACCAAAAACCAGGCTGATGCAATTATCATGGGTTTCCTTTTCCTTTCTTTCCATTGAATATCCTGTTCAAATCATTGAGCGTAAATTTACCTTGTTTCTCTATGTTCTCCTCCTCTATGTCCCCAGTCAATTACCTTTAGTGGAACTCGGATTCGCACATACACTCTAGGTATTTGCACTACTGCAGACAATTTAGCGCCCGGACTGCTTAGCCGGGTCTCCTCCACCTTCAGGGCAGCTGGGGTACAGGCACCCACACAGGCCATAGTCCCTAGAGGCCAGGGGCCGGAAGCGCGGGAGGCTAAAGCTTTTTGCGTTTCTTTCTGGCAGGGAAAGGGCCTATGCTGGGGCGGAGCGGCCTCCACCACCCGAAGATCTCTCGTGGTCGCAGCGCACCGGACTCTCGCTCTGCAAGGCTGTCCGCACTTCCCAGTTTCAGGGCGTGGCGGTCGAAGACTAGAAGTAGGAGAGCCCGCGTCTTGGGCCGGGAAAATAGAAAGGCGACAGGGGGCGGGGAGGCGCGAGGACAGGGCTGAAGTGGTCCCGCCTCCGGGTTGGCGCCCACGCCGTCCGACAAGCCAGGCGGCCGCTGATTGGCTGTGCGGGCTCAGGCGCTGTGTGCCCCGTGAACGCGAATAACCCTGAAGGCTGGGTCTGTGACCGACAGTAACCCCGGCCCTAGATGCAAGGGGCGCCGCGGAGCTCTCTGGGCGTCGGCGCAGCCCCGCCCCGCCAGGCCCAGACCCAGAGGCAGCGGGTTGGGCTGCCTGAGCTGTGGTTGAGAGCTCTGCGCGCCGCCGCAGACAGGGCCTGGCTGGCGGCCTCCGCCCCCAGCAGCCTCCTTCCTACCTCAGCTGGGCTGTTAAAGCAGTTTAGTGGGGGGTAGGTGTGAGGACCGGAGCATTGGAGTCGCTAGGATCCTAGTTCTGTGGAATCACATTGGGGCAGGAAGCTCGACTGGGGAAAGGGGTGTCCCAATGAACTGTGTTCATTTGAAAAGTCTCCTGTAGCAATTTTATGTTTTTTCTTACGTTATGCCTGAGTTAATTTGTTCATAACTTAGTGAAAAATTTTCATAAGACTTATTATGAAAACAGCAGGACCCCTTCCTCCTCTTCTCACCATTTTCTTCTTCTCAGAAGCCACCTTTGAACTCCTTTTAGCTCTTTGGCAGTCCCCCTCTGTATCTCTATGTGACATGCTAAGGTGGCCTCTTAGTGATTTAAAGCCTTTATACATTACTTACTGACTTCTCATTAGGTCTTTTTCCCCATCATCACTTTCACAGTCACCACTCACTCATTCACTTGGGCACCTACATGATTCACTTTCTCAGTCCTCTTAAGTACAGTTGTTTTGTAATTTGGGTTGTATAAGCAGTTCATGTTTATATTAGTATGACTACATAAGGAAGGCAGCTAGGATAAGGTCCTTGCAGAAGGATAGGAGGGGAGGGGATATTAAATAGCAAGTCTCAAAGGCATCCTGTGTGGGGCTGGGGATGTGGCTCAAGCAGTAGCGCGCTCGCCTGGCATGTGTGCGGCCCAGGTTCGATCCTCAGCACCACATACAAACAAAGATGTTGTATCCGCCGAGAACTAAAAAATAAATATTAAAAATTCTCTCTCTCTCCTCTCTCTCCCCTCTCTCACTCTCTCTTTAAAAAAAAAAAAAAAGTCATCCTGTGATTTGCTACTCTCTGCCAACGTTGACCACAGTGCCTTAGTCTGAGTTAGAATACCTGTTTCTCTTCCTCATAGTTTCAACCACAGCAGCCCAATCTTAGCTACCCTTACCCTCACCCCAGAAACAGTCAATCACAAGCAGACACCTATTTAAAATGCTTTCTTTTTCTAATCTAGAGGTGTCAAAAAATACCAGGTAAGACTCAGCCTCTTAATGATGTAAATAAGGAATTGAAATTATGCACTTCTGGTTGTCTTATTAACATCAGAGCATGAAGAGCTTCATAGACCATGCTAGCTAGCATCCCTCACACCACCAGTCACCTGTACTGAGCCATCAGATATGCCTTTAAAAAACCCTAGACAATAGACACCTGTTGGCATTCCTCTATTGGGCATCCTTCCTCTTAGGGAGCTCTGCTTTCTATTACTCTAATAAATCCTTTTATTTTGCTCTTACCCTTGAGTCCATGGATTTCATTCCTCGAATTCAAATTTGAGTCAAAGAACCCTTGTTACAATATGAATGGCTGTGGTGGGATTAGCAAGGTGGCGGCCTGTCTGTCCTCCCTGCTCCTGGGCACAGTGCCCTATTGGTGGAAAAGGTAAGACTGAAGGCTTTGGCCTGATGCAGCTTCTCCCACCCTTTACTCCAGTTCCATGGAGTCCTGTGGGGACTGATTATCCTGAAGGAAAAGGACAAGGCAAAAGAAAGGGACAGATGTGTAAAGGATAAAGGGTAATGCTCACATGTTGGAGGTGGGAATGTAAATGGAAAAACTATAGAAAAACACTGTTATAACACCCACAAAAAGTTACATATTGAATTGCCATGTGACTCAGACATTCCACTGCTAGTTATGTACCCAAATAAATGCAAAGGAGTCCTCAAATATTTGTCCATTATTGTTCATAGCAGCATTATTCCTAGTAGCCAAAAGGATGAAACAAATGTTTACCATTAGATCAATCAATAGACCAGCTGTTGAATACACATACGATGGAATGGACAATAGAAAGGAACAATAGAAATGAATCGTGTGGATGAATGCAAAAGCAAGCAAGACGAAGAATGTCACTCCTAGGATTCCATTTCTCTGAAACATCCAGAATACATAAACCCATAGAGACAGAAAACACATGTGTTGTTGCCAAGGATGGAAGGTGGAGTCAGGGTATGTTGACACTGATGAATGAGTTTGGGATTTTCTTTGCAGTAATGAAAATGTTTTGGGACTAGAGGTAGTGGTTGTACAATTTTAAATGCCGCAGAATTATTTACTCAAAATGGTAACTTTGTGTTATGTACATTACGCTTCAAATAAAGTGTATACATCTCTGAAATGAACAAACTGAAAGGGAAGTCCTACAGACTAGAATTCTCTAAGACAAGAGTAAAAATAGCTTCCTGAGTAATCCTGGGTCCAGCACTTATTTTCGAAGTCACTTTTTTTCTTTTTCTTTATTTCTTCTAGGTATTCACAGGGTTTTTCAAAATGTGGCCTGATCAGGCTACTCACTACTTCCTTTAGGAAATGGATAAGATGGAGAGGACCCTTTTGGTCCCTCCGAGATTTCTCTCCTGGGCCCAAGACTGTCATCAGAAGTCAGCCCAGCACACGCTGTCCCTCTGTGAGGCCTCTGTGGCCTGGGTATAGCAGGCTGGGCAAAACAATGGGGGAGGGGAGGGACTGGGTTGACAAAAGGGGAGGGTTCTGCCTCCAGCAACCCAGGATAGAATCTCAGTTCCTTGAAGTCTGTGATTAAGGGATTAGGGTTTGCTACATTTCTCCAGGAAGTCAGTATTCCATGAATCAGCACTTTGCCTGTGACATAGAAAATTAATTATAGGACACAAAATAGGACTCCCATTCCTTATGACTTTTCCCCCAGTTCACAGCAAAGATAGAACTTTAAAAGACATGAGAACCAAGTATAGTGCTGCTGCACACCTGTAATCCCAGTGATTCAAAAGATTGAGACAGGAGGATCACAAGTTCAAGGCCAGTTTCTACAACTTAGCAAGACCCTGTCTCAAAATTAAATAAAAAGGGCTGTGGATGTAGCTTAGTAATAGAGTGCTTGTTTGGTGTATTTGAGACCTTGAGTTCAAGCCCCAGTACTGGTGGGGGAAAAAGACATAGATCTTTATATTATTTCATCAAGTTCTGTGGGTTTCAGTGCAGGGAAACATTTCCAATAAAGGAAGATGCCTGTGAAGGAACTCAGAACTTTATAGGAGGGTGGAGTATGAATGGAAAAGAAGAGAGGAAATGTCAGGCCTGTTTCTATGATGGAGGGGAGGGCTTAAAACTCGGTTGTGGGTCAGTGTTAAGAGGGGGTCAGGAGGTGGAGAGAGCTGGGTTCTTGCAGAATACAGGAGGCCTGGCAGTTTGTGCTTGAGTTCAGTTCCCTTCTATTGGCCGCCAGGGAGGAGGGCCCCTACAACCAGGCTTTGCCTCTGAGTATAACTGAGTATCATTGGCAATACTTGGGTATAAAAGTGATTTAGGCCTGTCTCCTTTGTACTCCACTCCACTCCCAGAATAGCCAGGAGGTGAGATCTCAGTTCTGGAGCCAGGCCACAATGCCACTACCCACTCTGCCACAGCTTTTCTCCAGATCTTATCCAGCTACCTCTTTAGTTGAATTCAGATAACAACAGCATCTACTTCTGATACAGTGAGATGATGTGCTGTTCTGTACCCAGTGTAGTGCCTGCCTGTAGAAGTGTTGTTATTACTGTTATTATTGTGGAGAATATCATGTCCTCCATTCTGATGGACTGAGACCTTGGATTTCTCACGCTAAAGCAAGTTGGATTTGTGCTTATGCAATGGCCCTTTCACTAATGTAGAACACAGTATATGAGTTCTTCCAACAAGTATAATTTGGTATAGCAAAGTTATCATCTTAGACTCTAGGTAATCATCTTATACTCCAGTTGCCTTTTGTTAACATAACTAATATTTGCCTCCTAAAACTTTAAGACCAGGGACCATGTAATTGAATAATTGAGGGAAAATGGAGTGGTGTTTTTAATACAGTATTTCAGTCAATGGTTTTTTTAATATATTTGGGTTTGAATCTAAAAAGAATGACAAAAACATTTAAAAACAAGATTGTTTTTAATCATATAATTGTTTCATTGGTATAGAATTCATATACCACAAAACAAACCTTTACATGGTATAATTCAGTTGTTATTAATATATTTCAGCATCATGCAAGCAACATCACAATCAAAATTTTGAACATTTCATGCCTCAAAAGTCTTGCCCATTAGCAGTCACTCTTACAGCCTCTGTCAACTACCAGTTTACTTTCTATCTATACTTTTCCCTATTGTGGAGACTTCATATAACTGGAGGCATATAATACATGTCCCTCTGTGTCTGGTTGCCTGGCCTCAGAATAATGGTTTCAAGGTATATCATGGGGTATCCATGGGATGTCATGTATCAGTACTTAATTCTTTTTTTTAAATTTTTTTTTTTTTAGTTATACATGGGCACAATATCTTTATTTTGTTTATTTATTTTTATGTGGCACTGAGGATAGAACCCAGGGTCTCATACGGGGTGTGAGGCGGGTGCTCTACCGCTGAGCCACAACCCCAGCCCAAGTACTTCATTCTTTTATGACTGAATAATACTCCACTGTATGACTATACCACATCATGTTTATCTGTTCTTCTGTTGATGAAGACTTGAGTTATTTCTACTTTCTGGTTATTTAAATCAACTATGAACATTCATGTACAAGTTTCTGTGTGGTGTGAATTTTCATTTCTCTTGAGTATATACTGGGTTATGTGGTAACTATATTTTTAACCTTTTTCTAAACTCTTTCCCAAAGAGCTTAAATTCCAAAGTTCACATTCTCACTAGCATTTGTGAAAGTTCCAGGTTCTTAACATCTTCACCAATAGTTGTTAACATTTAAAAAAATTATATCTGTTCTAATCCATATGAAATGATATCTCATTATGATAATGGTAAGCAACTATGTATGTGCTTTCAATCATTTGTGTATCTTCTTTACAGAAATGTTCAAACACTTTTTCTATTTTAAAATTGGGTTTTTGTCTTTTGTTGTGGAGTTCTAAGCGTTCCTTTTATATTTTGAATACTAGTCTCTTATCAAATAAATGATTTGTGAATATTTTCTCTCACCCTGTGGGTTGCCTTTTCAATTTCTAGTTAGCATCTTTTTTTTTTTTTTTAAGAGAGAGAGAATTTTTAATATTTATTTTTTAGTTTTCGGCGGACACAACATCTTTGTTTGTATGTGGTGCTGAGGATCGAACCTGGGCCGCACGCATGCCAGGTGAGCGCGCTACTGCTTGAGCCACATCCCCAGCCCCTAGTTAGCATCTTTTGAAAGCAGAGAAGTTCTGAATTTGATGAACTTCAAATTATCTGTTTTTTTCTTTGTTGCTTGTCCTTGGGTTATATTTTTGAAAAACCACTGTCTCATCCTAGTTTATGAAGATTTATACTTGTTTTCTTCTAAGGGTTTTATAGCATTAGCTGATTCATTTTGGATTAATATTTGCATATGGTATGAGGAAGCAGGCCAGCATTCCTTTTGCCTGTTGATATGTAGCTGTCCCAGCAACCTCTGTTGAAAACCTTTTTTTTTTTTTTTTCTTGGAGAGTGGTCTAGGCACACTTATCAAAAATTAATTGACCCCTAGATGTATGGGATTAAATCTACATTCTCTATTCCATTCCAGTAATTTATGTGTGGTTTCATGCCAGTAATGCACCAGTATCTTGATGATTAAACCTCAGGAGTAATTTTGAAATAAGGAACTTGGAATTCTTCAACTTTGAACTTGTAAAACAAGTTTATTTTGGCTAGTCTGGGTCCCTAAATTTTCCTGTGAATTTTAGGATCAGCTTGTCAAATTGTCTTCTAGAAGGAGTCAGAATTTGATAAACAATTGCCTTAAATGTGTAGATCAATTTTAGGAATATTACCGTCTTAACAATTTTAGGTCTTCCAGTACATGAACATGGACTTTCTTTGCATTTATTTAAGGATTCATTTTTTTTAACTTTCTCTATTATTATATTATATCAATTTTTTGTTCTTTTGTTGCATGGTTAATTTTTTTTCTTTCTTTTTTTTTTTTTTGTACCAGGGATTGAACCTGGGGGTGCTTAACTGCTGAGCAACATTGCCAGCCTTTTTTTATTCTTTATTTTGAGACAGGGTGTTGCTAAGTTGCTTAGGGCCTTGCTAAATTGCTGAAGCTGGCTTTGAACTCGAAATCCTCCTGCCTCAATTCCTGAGCTGCTGGGATCACAGGCATATCCCACCGCCTGGCACATGGTTTAATCTCCATGCCTAGACAAGACCTTAGTCTTTTTATCCCTTCTCATATTAAACATGATGGAGGAGCAGAGTTCACTGCTTTGCCCCCTGGGAGCCCTTGCTCTCCATCTCACCCTCCGAAGAAAGCTGTCACTCCTT